AGTTGTTTCCTTCTGAAATCTCTTTCATCAACGTACTGTTCGTATAACATTGACAACCTGTGCCGTTCATCCGCCAAATGCCTCTGGAAAGAGTTAAGTTAATTACTCAAATAATAAGTAAGAAATTAATTAATTGAGTGATTGACTACTACAGATCGATTAACAGTCAGGGAGACATTTTAAGATTATGAGAATAATGAAGAGCCGATATTGATTGTGAAATACTTGAAATGAGTCCGGGAACAAGTTTGCATGTGACTTTTTCAGAGCCCAACGAATTCAGCTTAGACCGTTTGTAAAGTTTGTGGAAAGTCGCTCAGAAAGTCGATGCTTGATTCATTGAGAATCCACAATCAAGCAGAGAGGGGCAAAACAAGAACTGATCACTGCGCTTGCTCGCACGAAACAACAATGCAAAAAGGTTAGATGCATAACGAAAACAATAAAAACTAACAGCATTCGTATCAACTTTCTCATTTCTTCGATTCATCTCAATCAACGATATGTCCAACAACGCTCTTTCAATCAAATCGATCTGCGATTGCAACATAACGCTCCTCTCATCTGCACGTTCGCGCATCGATACAACAAAATCTTCCTATTATTCATATCATATGGATATTATTAAAATTATTACTATGTTAGCCATTGATCCTATCCGGCCAACACCCAGTTAATTAACTCTATAAATTCTGTAGCGTTCGCCTCAGTTCACCCTCAGCTCATCGTTCACCCACTTTCACACAAACTTCACATCATTTCAGAAACAATGGATTAGTTCATTCATTCGCTGAACGAACATCATTGTCACGCATTCTACCATTCGTTTTCAACAATTTACCTTCTCACATTTAATAACTCGATAACACTGACAAACCCATCAATTATTATCACTTCAAATACGTACATTACTCTCATTTACTTTTGCTATCCCGATTCTTTCATGCAAGCGTGTCACAATTCATCCAAAATCATAATCCATCGTCCGTGAACCTTTATCCAAAATAATTCATAATCAGACTTTCGCACTAAAATGCGCGCTCTCGCTTATTTCTTCATCAACTCGTTGTGGCTAAGCGAAAACCGAGAGAAAAAGGCAAACAAAAGCGAATAGACAAGCAAACAAACAGTCAAGACCGGGATTTTGGTAACAAATAAATACTACGAATACAATCTTCTTACGGTTAGCAACCGCTTTTATAATCCGATCAACTGAAACATTACATCAAGACTATTAATTTTGTAAATTATCAGAGGCATTTTCATCAGAACGAAATACAGAATTAACAAACACCACGGATAGTGCACGCTACATTCCAAAAAACAATTAAAGTTCAAGGACTATTTCAACAGTGGGATAAAAATAACTGCGATAGAACTACGATAACACAATATGGAGGAGTATTAGAAATAAAAGAGAAACTCACGAGAATATTGTGATCGTTCATGATTTCTGAACAAATTACATCGTACTTTTCACGCTCCTTGCCAGATTTCGATAAAACCAGAAGGTCCACCTCAGCCATCTTTCTGCAATTTATTTCGAATGACAATCGAAAAAGCAAACGGACCTCTGTATATACATGATGAATAATGCAATAAATAGAGTGTAAACAATCTTTGATGAATAAGGCTTTCTGCAATGAATTTCATGGCCTTCATTCATCACTGGTTATAATAATCCAGGATAAATGTCCGAAAAATTCTGCCCATTCTGCTCAGAAATTATATCATAAATTGGAATTTTAACGAACTTCGCAATTTCGTTCATTGACTTTCGTCTTCTTTCTTCAGCTTCATTCGAAACGCATTCCGACAACAACTTATCTTCTTGTTCGGTTGTTTTTAGCCATTCTTAAANCTCTTGCACAACCAGTGAAGATCAATCAAACGAGTAAAATGTGACTAGCGCACTACAGTGACCAATATATTGAGTGGTTTTTTTTGCGTAAGATTTCTCATAAATCGTTTAGTGGTGGAAATAAAGACTAGGTGCATTCAAAATGGATGAAGTAAAGTTGAAATGCATCTCAGAAAGAACGCGCAAAAGAAAGAGGATATTCGCATACGTTCTCGTTCATTCTGCAGATCAATCCTTCGTTGACGCAGCACTGCATCCAATTCTTCTCTGAAACTCATTTTTGATAAACAATAACAAATTCGTTTGTGGTTATTGCGAATTTATGAGGAAACGGTAAACTAGAAATCGTACTGATCAAGATCGTGGGCTGTTGTTGAATTCGATGACGATCTGAGAAGGACGTTCAATGCATTATCAATGATACTTTCGGCATGACTCTCCACTGCAAACATTCAATTGATGCATCACTTTTTCAATGTTCATAACAATAGCGTGTACGGTGTCACTTCAATCTTACTGGTATCGAATAACAAAAGCAAACTTTGTTTAATAGTATCAGCCATATTCATACGATCGCGAGCATGTTTTGCAAATACTTTTTCCACCAAAACATCCAGTTCTTCTTGCTCCTAAAATTTATTCATCTTAACTTTGTATCTCCATTCAACGAAGTCTTCTGACACAAAACATTTTCGATAAAAACTGTCAAAAAAACTCAGGTTCTTAGTTAATCGACCAACCAAATTTAGCCCGTAAAACAAAATAAGGTTACATATGAATTAACCTATACCATGCAAATCAGATCCTGTCAATGGGAAAGGCAAAAGATAAGTGCTACAAACCTTCATTAATTGCTCCATTTTCATTTGTCGTTCACAATTCAATCGTTCCATATCGATCGTTAGAACATCTCCATCTTGATCGTAACCATTAAAATGTTTATCCGTTACAATCAATTCGTTATTGTTGTTATTATACTGACAATCATCTGATGAGTTCTTCGACGTCGTTACTAATTGTGATTCACAGTGATCAGTGGCATCATTATCGCAGCTTATTGATTGTTCATTTGAAGTGGTACTTAACGGGGAGTTCGTCATGAAACGTCTCAACCATTCGTTATTGCCATCCGACGAATCTGTAAGTAAAGACGTGGTAAAGATGTTGGATATTTGAAGTTTGATTCAAATAAGCGTTATGTTCTCTGAATACCAAAGGAACAGTTCTAGTAATTTCCTCCAGCAAAACACTTCATCATGAGAAGTACTCAGGAAATAATGAAGCGATCTGTGTTTTCAAGAAATGAGACCGCTGATTCTGTGATAAGAAGAAAAAAGACGCGCAACATCTACGAAACTTACCAGAATGAGACAATTCAACGATTTCAGTATCAAAATGAAATTCGTGTAAATTTTTCAGTTTTGAAATTTCGTAAGGAATCTTTCGAATTGCATTCGAAGAAATATCCAAACTTCTCAACTTGATCAAATTTCCAATTGTTCCCGGAAGCGTTTGCAAATGATTCGCTGAAAAAGGATTCAAATGACGAACGGAATTCTGAATTGAATTCAACCGTTCTATACATCGGAGAATTTTCGTTATTTCGAAGTAATGAATCGAATGGATGAAAGAAAAAAACGATATTAACCGGTAACCTTTTAAATTAAAACATTCCAGATTGTTCAACGAATCAATGTCATCAGGTAAATCAGTTAGTTGATTGAACGACAAATCCAATATGATCAATGAATT